TATTTTTTACTTTTTTCTCTACAGTACAAACATACAGCTTTGCCCTAGATTTTGTGACACACAGAATTCCTGAAAGGCAGACTAGGTTTGGAATCCAATAAGCCTCCGGCCACTGATCTGCCAGCTTTCAATGCTTCAGGGGGTGTCTGGGTCCTGGGTCTGGGATCCAGGAACTGAAAAGAATACCTACATATCTTTCTCCTCATATTTTTTTTATATTTTATTTTTTCTGTATTTTAGGGAAGGGTCTACAGGGTTTTCAGGGTCTCACTACTAAATAGGACTCATAGTGATTCTCCTGTTTACAGCCTCCCAAGTGCTGGGATTAACGTCATGTCACCCAGTCTCAATCACCATCTCAGTGAGACCCCAGGGATGGAACTGGCACGGCAGGCCCAGAGATGGAACCTCAGTCCCTGCACCTGTCTGCAGGCACTTCAATCCACTGAGCTATTTTGTCAGCCCTTCTCCTGATGTTTTTGGCCTGTTGGGCTGATTGTTAATCTGTCTATATGGTAATTAACTTTATAAAGACTTATAAAGCAAATGAATAAATGAATCTGATACTGCCAAAAAAAATTTAAAGGAGAGGGAGAATGGAAGGGAAGGAGAAAAAATGAACCGAGATATCTTATGCAGATGTACCAGTTCCCCACAATGAGTGTAACTACTATGTACTGCAAGTGTGTGCTAACAAAATTTTTCAAAATATGAGGGGAAGGACGTTCAGATATCCACAGAGTGAGAGTGACAGCTCCTCCCCCATATCAGGTGAAGTGGGCACAGTCTCCTCTAATTTATCATGGAAATGACACTTGTCCCAATTTGCAGAGACAGAACCAGTGGCAGCTTCCAGGGCTGGTCTCAGGGGAGGCAGGTAAAGAAGTTTCCTCTTGCATCAGTGAAGCAGATTATTTGTCCAGCTTAACGTCAGTCATTCTCTCTCCCCAGACTCTGTGGGCAGCCCGATCTCAGCAGCATCAGCCCCCACAGGCAAGACTAAGGCAACCCCATGGCCCATGTCAGTGGCCTTTCTAAGGCCCCCTGAGACTTCTAGTGTATCATCCCGCAGCAGTTTACGCACTTGCACCTCTTGCTGTTCAGCATCTAGTCGTCTTTCTTCTCTTTCCTCCTTTCTCCCTCTCCTGTGCATCCCTCTGGGGAATAGAAGGCAAAATCTCAAATACTGGCTGAGACTACCAGGTAGCAAACACATGGGATGAGAAGGTGAGGAATCAGACCACACAGAAAATCCAGCCTGCATCAAGACATTCAGGTTTAGGGCTGGCCAGATAACTCAGCAGACTAAAGCACCTGCCTAGGCAGCCACAGGGACTGGGGTTTGAACTCCCGGCATGCTGTACCACCCCCATCCTGGAGGCGCACTAAGATGGCAACTGAGACTGGGTGTGGTGGTGCATGTCTGTAATCCCAGTGCTTGGGAGGCTGAAAACAGGAGGATCACTACAAGTCCAATCTGTATAGTTAGATATTGTACTAAATACATTTTTAAAAAAGACTTCAGGTTCAAACATCTCTAAGCACTGTGTCCCAATATATTATTCTGCACACCACGTAAGCTTTAGATCCTCAACTCTGCAGGTTCCCTCCTGGCCAGAGATAGCCAAGATGAACAACAGTGACCCCAAAACAGGAGCCAGCCAAGGCTCTCTCTCCTCTGCTTCAGATTTAGCTGGAAACCTCCTGAGGCTAGAAGTACCTTCGCATCATCATTCTATACGCTCCATGTGTGAATGAATGTAAGTCACCCAGGTAACGGGTAAACTTGAGCGCAGATATTAGACAGCCAGGGCTCACCACCGGCTCCACTAGCCTTGCCTGAATAGTCTCTGTTTTTGTTGTGGTAAAGCATGTGACATAGGACTACTTTTTCTGGTTTTGTTTTTGTTTTTGGGTACCAGGGATTGAACTCAGGCCCTTGCACTTGCCAGGCAGGCACTTATGCAGCTGAGCTATCTCCCCAGCCATAAAACTGCATTTTAACTATGTTTAAGTGCACTAGTTAGTCGTTAGTGCATTCGTGTTATTGGATAACCATTCCAAACATCCATCTCCATGATGATTTTAGAGCCTCAAACTGAAACTCTACACTTGTTAAATAATAACTCTCCACCCACCACCCCTTTCTTTTCCCATGAATCGGACTCTTCTGGGTACTCATTAAACTGGAATTACACAATGGTGGTCTTTTTGTTTCTGACTAATTTCACTTGGCGTGTTATTCCCAAGGTTCATTCACGTTACAGCACATATCAGAATTTCCTTCAGTTTTAAAGGTGAATGATATCCCACGATCCATACATAGCATATTTTGTTTATCTGTTGATGGGTATTTGGGCTGACTGGGGGAGCCACGCTGCTATACACACCAGTATACAAATAGCTACTCAACTCTACGCTTTCAATTCTCTTGTGCATTCACCCAGAAGCGGGATTACTAGATCAGCCTGTAACTCTATGTTTAACCTTTTAACAACTGTGCCCATGTACCTGGACCCAGTCCTAGAACCTCTCTGAAACTTACCTACACAGCAGGAGTAATAAGAGCACAGACCTAATTAGTGTGCCCTAAGATGCTCCATCTCCTTGTCCTCTGAAACTGAGGACTCAAACTAAGATGATCACTACAGTCACTTTTAGCTCTAGAAGTCCATGATCCCATTAAGAAATTATTTTCCTGTTAGAATGCCAGAGGGAAACACCCTCTTCAGGATCCCCACAAACATCTCTCCCTGCCAACAAGGCCCAAGTTTCATAGCTCTCCCCATGGAATGCACTAGCACAACCCCTTATATACTAACAACTTTTTTTTTTTTTTTGCCTCTTCTCCTCCTTTGCTTGCTTTCCACACTCCCTTTCTCAGCCGGCTATTCCAGCCCACTGAATATCTGTGCTTCCAATTATCTTCCCCTGTGGTGTTTGTGTTCATTCCCCGCAAGTCAGTGTCTGTTGGAAGCGACACTTGCGAAGTCATCCACATTAAGCTTTCGTTTCCCAGGAGGCCCATATTTTCAATGAGGTTTTCCTCTTTGGCAGAGTCACGCTGGCAGAGCTCCTGCTCACTGGTGAAGTCAGTGGAGTTGGGTTTCCCCCTCACATGCTGTTTATGTTAGGTTTATCACTTGGCCCGGGGTTCGGCGGGTCTCAGCCTCCAGCAAGTAACCCATGTCCACGAGTGACAAGGATCTCCCAGCCTGTCCCAGGGGATGTTTACATTGCATGAGATACTCTTTTTAGAAAAGTAATTAGGGGAAATATGTTCCCAAGGTTTTCTTCATGGCACCAGATTCAGAACTTCAGCAGAGTGGACTCCCTTATGTGAAGAAATGTTTTCCTTTGTCCCCGCCCCCCAACATCTTTCCCCTAGCTCCACAACCGCACACCCTTGCTGCTCTCTGGTTCAGGCAGAAACGTGGCCAAAAACAAGCCGTGTACCCAGCCTCCAGCTTTTCCCCAGAGAAAGGTAAAAGAGAGTCTCAAGTCCACAATAAATGGGTTTCTCAGGTCCTGGACAACTGAGCTTTGTTCTCTAACTTTTATGGGCTTGCACTGTCTCACCTGTCACATGATGAAAATGGAACAGGGTTGATGCAACTGTAAGGAATTGGATCCCCTGGTTCTACTTGAAGAAGAACCCGAGTCCTCTGGCCTTGGTCTAAGGCCACCACACCCTGGAAGTTTGGATCTGAAAGGCAGAGACGGAGTAGAGAGGAGTCCTAAGGCAGATTCCTCAATTTACTTATGGGTAAATATTTAGGCTTGTGAATTATCGGTTTCCCTGGGCAGGAAGAAGCTTCATTACTGTCTCTGGGCAACTCCAGATGCCACAGAGGCAGCACTCAGTGGAAGCATTCTCACCAACTAAGGAAGATTTAACAAGGGGGCAGGTGGGCTCCAGGTGGATAGGAAAAAATATTAACCCAGCAGAGAGCGGGTAGAGAGGGTGGTGTCGCGTCTCTTGATGATGAAGACTTGTGCCTCGGGTGGTGTGCCCCTTCCCCACAAAGGAGCCAGTCGAGAGTTTAGCATCCTGGCCATGCCGCTTCCCTGCTTCCTTCTCAGGCAACTGCCAGCCACCTGCAGAGGCAGAGTATGCGCCTCTCAGGTACAGCCCTGAGGACAGGTGGCCAGCGGCAAAGGCTCCTGTAGCAGGTATCCCTGTCCTGCCGAGTCTCTGCCTCTCAGTCCACCCGCACCTCCTGAGGACTCTCCTGATAGACACCTCGTCCCTCATGCCAGGTAAAGCAGATGTTCCTAAGAAACCTGCCTCCCATCACCAGGGAGCCATTCCACGAACTGCCATTCTCTGGCTTCTGCTCTTTGCTGGCTCGACAGAGTCCCAGGAGCTCTGGGTCACGTTCCAGCCTCATTTACCAGGGGAACCCATTTGCCCTGGGGATTGCGGCTCAGAAAAATGGCATGTTTCAAAAACAAAGCCAGAACTTTTTCAAAACAAACTGCATCCCCCAGAAACAACTTGGACTTTTAACCTCAGCTCTTTTTGTTTTTCCTCCTTTCTCATTCTTATCAGGCGAGATAGAGCTGTATGCTGAGAAAGTGGCTCTCCCTCAGGATCCCTCCCCATACCTCGTGAGGTACAATCAAGCATAAGTCGCCCAGAGGAGCGTTGCCTTTCAACCCTCTCCTTCTGTTCTGCTCCTCTGAGTGAGCTCTTTCCAGGGAAACTTTGTTCTTGCAAATCAGAGCCCCTGCGACTCAGACTGAATTGATATCCCAAGGTAATGTGATACCATGTAAAGAGATTAAAAGAAGCAAATAAAACTGATCACACACACACACACACACACACACACACACACACCCCTTCCTAAGTCCCACACACAGGGATGACAACCCCAAAAGTGTCCCATTCTCCAGCGGCACCAGCCAGACTCCCAAGACCACCGCTGGAGCTCTCCATCTGCCCCCCAGGCGGACAGTGCCCCTTCCCCGGGCATCCTGGACTCGACTCGGGGTACCTCTTGGCAGGGAGGAGATGAGAAGAAGCTGCAGGAGCACGAGCCCCAGCTGAGTCCAGCGGTCCAGCTCCATCGCTCCCGCGGTGGTGGCGGCTGAGGGACTGTGGCAGGGAGAGGCGGCGTCCAGGGACCTCCCCAAGCTCCAGCTGAGTGGGAGCTCGGGTTTCAGCTCCTCGCCTCCGGCTCTCGCATCTTCATCCGAGGGGAACCACCTTCAGCCAGAGCGACGTCAGCCTGAACCTCTGCTCTCCGCTGCCTTAACCCTTGAGGGGCCCGGAGGCCGGCGCAGGTCGTGCTGCGCTGAATGCAGAGGTCCGCGGCGCTATGGGGGCTTCAGGTGAGAACAGCTCCCCCTGCCTCTCACGCAACACCATGGAGTAGGGTGAGGGCTGGTTGTGCCCTCTCCAAATGCAAGCTGAAGGGGCTGGGGAGATGGCTCAGTAGAATAAGCACTTGCCTGGCAAGTGCAAGGGCCTGAGTTCAATCCCTGGTACCGCCAAAAAAAAAAAAAAAAAAAAAGCAAGCTGAGGCTTAAAGAAAGTGTGATCTCGACCGGGTAGCAGGGAGGAACTGGTGACAGGAGGTAGCTCCCTACATGTCTGAGCTTTTTTCTTCTTTCTGCTCCCTGTGTCAGAGGTTGGAAACAGCTTCCTTCCACGATGACCACGACGGTGACGTCAGCAGGGCAGGCCAAGAGGGCACTAAGTTTAGGGATCAAAGTACAAGCAGGGGACTGTCCTGGGAGAGAGCTCCACTTAGGGACAGGGACTGCAGGTGCCACCTTAGAGGGAGGAACAAGGGTGCTACAAGAGACAGGACTATAGGCCAGCTTCTCTGTATGAGGTGCCCTCCCTCCTTGATTCCTGAAATAAACCTGTCATCTCTTTCCCACAAGTGGGGAAGTTGAGGCACTGAAAGTTGAATAATGCATCAAGTTGCACGGTGAGGGTACAGCAGGGTTTGAACACAGGACTCCAAAGGTCCAAAGGTTGTATCCAGAGCTACTTGGCTATGAAGTTCCTTAAAGTGTTACCTATATAAAATGGTATTCAATCACTATAGACCCAGGGGCTGGAGAGATGGCTCAGTGGTCTAAAGCACCTACTTGGAACAAGCTTGGCAAAGCACAGGGACCGTGGTTCGATCCCCCAGCACCACATGCCAGCCAGCCGCGCCCCCTGGTGGGCTGAGCTGGCCACACACACACACACGCACACACACTAAATAAATGTTAAAAAAAATTAAAAAAATAAAATAAAATAAAAATCAATCACTATAGACCCAATTCTGCCTATACAGAATTGCATTTAACTGTTACACCTACAATGTACAATAGGTGCTATTGTCTACATTTTGGAAGCAAAAACAAAGACTCAAGAGATGAAGTGAGTTACTCAGAACCACACAATCCCCCTGCCTCAGCCTCCCAAAGTGCTTGAAATTATAGACATGCACCACTATGTTCAGCTAAGATTACGCAGCTGGAAATGCAAAGCAAAACATACCCAGGTGTAGTATAGAGCTGGGGCTTTGGATCATGCTTGGGCCCAGTCTGTATCGTCAGATTAAAAACCAAAGCCAAGAATGGTTACTCATTCCAGGCCAGTACTAGGGAGAAATCCTCCTAGAGCCAGGAGGCCTGAACTACAGCTACAGAAAGGTAGAATCCCAATCCACAGAGGGGACAAAGGAGGGCTTTCTAGGAGGAAGACTGAAGTTGGCCAGTGCCACTGAGACACAATAAACATTTAGATGTTTGTATCCTTATTGATACTTCTGTTTCTCCCTAAAGGATTCGTGTAAAGTAGTCCATCCAACTTAATTTTTTTTTAAGTTTTGATAAATGTATATGAGACAGAGAGAGAGAGAGAGAGAGAGAGAGAGAGAGAGAGAGAGAGAATAAAACTTAACTGAAGATGGACATGATGCACGTATAGTCTCGAAGTGAGAGAGAGAGGAAGAGTGAGAGTGTGTCCAGGCTGTTTGAATTTTATATTCTAGTGCTTTTTTAGGACAAGTGAGCACTGGGCCTGAAGCAGAGTCCCAAGAACAGGAGTCACCCTGGACTATGGAGTGGCTGGAATAAGGGTGAGTGATGCACATAGAAGGGAAGGGTTGATGGGCATCCTGTAAGGGAGGGTGAACCTCCAGCGCTCTGGACTGGTTGGCAGGGCAGGAATGCCACTCTCTCCACTCTGGAAGGTGGCAGCCCCCTGCAGCAAAGTGACCAGAAACAAAACCACAGCACGCAGAGACTCATGTTGAAATCCTTGACTTGCTACTTTCTGGTTCTAGAACTGTAAGTGTGCTAACCCCCTGGACCTCAATTTTCTCCTCTGTAGAATGAGATAATAATCAGACCTACATCATAGCCTATTTCAAGAATCAAGGGGGATCATGCCCCTAAGTCCCATGACACAGTGCTGAGCTTAGACTCACTGTCCAATGAACACTAACGCCTATTTACATCATGTACCCTCAGCCTGACCTGAGAACATTGCAAGTGATGAGCCTTCTTCCTCACTCTCCACTTCTCTGTCCAAAGGAAATTTGTATAACATGAGCTAAAAGCAGAAGAAAATAAGCCAGTGTGTTGAAGTATGCCTGTAATTCCAGTTTCTTGGGAGGCTGAGGCATTAAGATTACAATTTTTAGGGCTAATGAGATAGCTCAGCAGACTAAGTGCCTGCTTAGGCAAGTGCAGGGGCCAGGGTTCAATCCCCAGGTCAAAATGGCCCTGCATCAGCCCTGTCCCCAGGTGCGCTGAGCTGGGGACAGAGTCTGGGTGTGGTGGTGCATGTCTGTAATGCCAGTGCTGGGAAGGCTGAAAACAGGAGGGTCACTATGAGTCCAAGTTGCGTAGTGAGACCCTGTACCAAATACATAAAAAAAAAAAGATTATAATTTTGATGATGGCCAAGGCAATTTAGGGAGACCCTGCCTCAAAAGTGTTTTAAAAGGTTAGGGGTTGAAGGTGACCCTACCTTTTCCCTTGACAGAAGCTAATCACCAGAGATGGCTCTGACCCTTTATCAAGCCCAGAGTAATCCATACAGCAAACCCTACTAACTAAAGCTTATCCCCCCAGCTCACCCATATATTTGCTTTCCCACAATTTGTTGCCCCTGGAAGCTCAAAGTCCCTATTCTGTGTCTTGCCAATTCTCTATAAAATGTGTCATTCTTTTCTTAAGATGTTATATGAGCCGGAATGATCACCGATTCATTTGACTTACCCCCCACTGTGGTCTTCTATGTACATGACCCACACAAAAGTTAGCAAACTTTGGTTAATCTATCTTTTGCTAATCTCATTTCCTAGGTTCTAGTCAGTGAGCCCAAGATGGTTAGGAAAAAAAAAAAAAGATTTTATTCCTCTCCTAGAAACCTGACTGGCTGCTTCCTAAGGAAGCCCCCTAGTAGTTGGTCTTTGCTTCTTCAGGTTTGGAGAACTTCCTTCTCTTCCTGAAATCTCCACAAGACTTTTCACGTTCATGGGCAAGGAAACCAGGAGGGGAAAATCTCCAAACAAAGCCCTAGGAAGGAGAAGACACATTTCTCTGGGGAACTCAAAGCAGTGACCAAATGTTATTTTGTAAAACTTCACAAAAACTCTCACCTGGAGGAGCCCAGAGGAGCCCAGAAGCTATGACCATAAGGCAGGAAGTCCAGAAGTTTCTGGAAGGCCATTCAACACTATAGGAAGAACTATTTTCCTGTACAAGTTTAATTTATTCTGTTCCCAAAAGGTCAAGTCAGTTTCTCCTATTTTCAGAGTTTAGCATTGTTGTAAGTCAAATCATCTCAATCTGGGTGTTCCATGGAGTAGATTGAAAGGATTTCGAATGGCTTTGCACCTCACAAAATTACACGCAAAATTTTACCAGCAGTTTTTGCAGTGAAAAAGGGCTACGGTCCCAGGTAAAGTCTGACCTGAAAATTCCCAGCTTCTTTAAAATCACAGATCTTCAGAAGATGAAATGTGAAAATTGACCAGATAGTTCTTGGGTCTTGGAGAAAACAATTTTGTCTATACCAGTATACCCAACTGCGGTGCCTAGGCTATGAACTGCACAGCGGGTATTGTCACCATCTCATTTTTCTTGGAAAAAACTATATTCTTGCTTTAGCACTGGCTCAGATCATGTTGCCTCATAGTAAATCCAGATGATCCCTTCCTGTCTATGAATTACTGGGTATGTTAGTTTGTCTACAATGGCCTTAGTTTCCTTATTTGTTAAGTGGGAAGAAAAGTGGGACCTGCTCCCTTAGGGTTAAAGAGCTCAGAACACTACCTAAAAAGTATAATAAATCTCAAGATGTTTCTCTCTCCCTCCTACCCTGACCTTCTACAAATACCCCAAGGAGGAAAAAAATCACAAGAAAGGTTACGGCTAAAAAAGGCACAGTGGCATGTGTGGAAGCAGCAAGAGGAATTAAGAATTGTCTACACGTGACCAGCACACAGAAGTCAACTGTCGGCTGTAGTAAATGGGGTAGGGTCACCCCACTAATTACAAGTTGTAATACTCACTAATTTTTACATCAAAGGATGAGGATCTCCAACAGTGCCACCAAGGGAGCTGGTTGTACCTGCGCACACAGAAAGCAGCAGCAGAGAAAGTGGCCTTTGTGAATGCCAACAGGTCCCCAGTTCTATGCTGCAACTTCTCCATGTCAGCCACTGAGCAGCAGCAGGAGGGAGAGGGTTGCGTGGAGAGGCTGCTGATGGGAGAGGAGCCTGGGACTCACGGGGGAGGTTTCAAGACTCCTTCTTTCAAGTAGTTGACCAAAATTAAAATTAAGTAGGCACAGATTTCCTCAAGGCTGTAATTGAACTTGCTATATATTTTAAGTCAAACACACATCTTGGGCTGGCCAGATAGCTCAGCGAGCTAAAGTGCCTGCTTAGGCAAGCACAGGAGATGGGGTTGGATCCTCTTGCCCTGCTGGCCCCAACCCTGGGACTCACTGAGACTGAGACTGGGTGTGCATGGTGGTGCATGCCTGTCATCCCACTGCTTGGGAGGCTGAGCATAGAAGGATTACTATGTGTCTAATCTGTGCAGTAAGACCCTGTAGACTCTGTATTAAATACATTAAACACACACACATACATCTAAAAAATTTACCACCTTATACGTACATGTTTCCAGTTGGTGTGCTAGAGAAAGTATGCAT